CCAATTAAGATTTAAGACTAAACTAAGAGGGTAAATGTGTAATATTCATCATAATAAACCCTTTCGAATGTTTGAAACATAAGGGTTTAAGAGGTAGAAACCAACTCATTACTTTTTTATAAGGGTAAAATTGTAATTTTCCTAAATTATTGTGCTTGGAAGTTAACCTATTTGGATGATCCTAAGGTACCCCCCCCCTCCCTCCTAGGGTCCCCCCCCCCCTCCTCAATAGGTGATTAATGCAATCTTTCAATAAGAATTAAATCCATTTAATTCAACATCTTTGAATATTACAAATTTATCCACAAAAGAAGACTTAAGGGCTTAGTAGTAAATTAGGCCTGATTTAAATTTGCTTAATGAGGTCTAGAAAAGGAAACTTGATCAATCGTGAATACTTTCAAAGCACTGCAAGCCTAACTTTAATCATAAGTTCAATATTCTTAATGACTTGAACTAGCCCTTCAAGGCATCCACTTATATAACTCTTAAAACAAAACATCAAGTGAATGTCTAAGTACCCCGCTCATAAGATAATTAAAACATCAAGATTCATTGAGCACATGACAAGTTAATTCTCACTGAATCAAAATTTAACTTCAGATGCTTAATTGAACAACATTATAAGTTCAAATGAACTTGAAACGGTTCAAGGGGTTTTAAGAGTTACAACTGAACCGTATATTATCCCCCAAACTTTTATGATCTTTTGGATATTTTGAAGGACAACTGAAGCTATTATGCTTTGTTCAAGATAATCATCCTTAAAAATTTAGGGGCCCACCAAGTTATGCCTCGGGACCCAATAATTCACCTAAATCAATAAAAATGCCCTACACTACTTAACTTACATTAATTGACCCAATGCTCAAGGATTTGAGTCTTCCCTTAGTTATTTAAATCATTTTGAGTAACTAGGGATATTTGTTTTTGCCTCATATGGATCATCAGGCTTGTGTAAGTCTGAGACATAGGTGGCTAGGGTGATGACAATAATGCTAATATGTGCTAAACAATAGATACGACGTGAGATTTAGAATAATATCTTCAACATCAAGGACCTTCAATAAAGGGAGAGTATAAGAACCGATGATAATATTCGTTGGCTCTTGATGAGATTGTTGCCCCTCATACTCTTATGTTGTCTGTAGTCCTAGCTCGATCAAAGTAATTAACCTGTGAGCTACACTGCCTTGCAAACTATTTACAAAAATGAAATTTTTTTGCCCGTTAAATTAAATTCTATATGCATGAAAATTAAATTAAAAATGAAAACTTATAAAGGTCCACAATTAATCACTTGGATTGAGGTTATGACCGCCCTCCGTAGATTATCGGGTTGATAACTCTTACTCAAGGTTCAGAAGCACACAATTCAGCTTGGAGCCCCCACATTTACCAATGTCTTACACGTAGTCTCGGCCTTTCATATGTGACTACGAGTTTTGTTTTACTTACTCGTGTTTTCTTACGACTCGTTTTCAAACTTTTCCTGTCCTAGATGTTCCTGTTTACTTTCTTGTGATTTATTCAAATTTTCTGTAAATATATTATGCTTTAAGAGACTAACCCTGCAACGGTAGCAGAGGCTCATGTAGGCATTTACATTTTATGCATTTCAATTTTGCTTATTTACCTTACATCATTTTCTATCTACATTTATTTACTTTATATGCAAAACTAAACCAAAACAGAAAAGCAACAAAACACATTTTCAAAATTAAATCTATACTTTTAAAACATTGAATGAACATAATACACTCTTTTTGGGTTTACGAGAATTTCTTGGATGAGGTAGCCTATGGTTGCTAATGGGAGTTCTCCAGTTTAAATGAGGTTAACAACTCGTTTAGACTAAGTAAACTCAAGAGAAAATAATGATGTCGGAATGAGGGAACCGTAGGATTCTAACTGATGTTGCTCTAATTAAATTAAAATCCCCTCTAAAGACACTTGAACAACAACAACAATAACAAAACTTGTCACTTAAACTGCAAAACTATAAAACCTTAAACCTGGAGCTATCGTAACAAGGAGCTTGGAGCTAACACCGTGGGCAACACAATAAGAATGAACAAAAGAACAACTTCTAGAGGGAAAGCAGATCTACAACAACGAACCTTCCCTAGAATTAAATAATAAGACAAAGGATTTCAGGGTAGCTTGTCTAGTACGGCGTAAATCCTCAACTCATATTTAGATCTGTGCACAACCATGTTGTGCAATTTAAGCCCTAACTCGCTTTAGGCTCTAAGATTGTCATTCGTTACTACATAAACCTTTCTATCTTCTAGACTATTTGTATGCCCGTGTCATGCAAGTGTAAGTCCTAAATAATAACAATTTGCAAGATGAAACATCTAATAATATTTCCACAAAATTAAAATCAAACCATAGGAAAACTTGGGAAGTCACTGAGGTTCTCCTCAGGATCCGTGGCATCCCTTAGTTTTTATCATTTGGATTCCAAAAACAACAGTTCTCATTTGATCTTTCCCATTTGATACTCGTTTGCCCGACCTTAAAAACCCTAAATTTTGAAATTCTTGAAGAAAATACATTCTAATATAAATCGAGAGTTTTTATAGGCGATTTCAATTGTCTAAGATGTAATTAATTATAAGAGTTTGCCCTTATAGGAATTTTCAGAACCCAACTTAATATAAACATTGTCTAATCTTTTATATTAGATAGAAAAATTTGTCGGTCAACATAAATGTTTCACAAACTAAAACGGATTTCATAAATCCTTTAGTTTATTTAATCGAGTCTCACTATCAAGTAATATGTCTATTCCTCGGGATAGATGCATGAGTCGTAATATTATGCTCGTTTATTTAAACTATTATCTGTATGAGATCAGTTCGGCCTTGTATTTTCAAAATTTAAAATATTACTTTTCAAATCTATACATATATATTAAATTAAATTAAATATCATCTTTTTCCCATGTTGATGACCGACAATATGTATATGCATATCCATGCATATGTATGCATGAATATATATATACACACACACGCGTGTGTATATATATATATATATATATATAGATAGATATGTATATGTAGATACATAGATACATATATACATATATATACATACATAGATATATATACATATCTATCTATATATATGTATATAGATAGATATATTCATACATATCTATGTATGTATATGTATGTATCTATGTATCTATATCTATGTATATCTATCTATATCCCTGCATCTATATCTACCTATATAGATATACATACATATATATACATACACATGTATATACATATATCTATATATATATATATATATACATATATGTAGGTATATAGATATATATATATGTAGGTATACAGATAGATATATATGTATGTATATAGATAGATATATATATATGTATGTATATAGATAGATATATATATGTATGTATATAGATAGATATATTTATACATATCTATGTATGTATATGTAGGCATCTATAGATATCTATATCTATGTATTGTGTGTGTTTCGTGGTCTGTTGGTAGATCAGTCTCTTTGAAGATCGTAAGTCCCCCCAGGTCACGGGTTCGAATCCCCCCGTGTGTAGGACGCAGTACTCGAATTTACAGCACACCGCGTCAGCCTCCCAACCTAGCAGGGGTTAGCGTAAAAGGGGTTGATGGGTGGTTCCACAATATTTTTTAGAAAAAAAAAAATATTAATGGCTGATGGCTTTATACTTAACCTCATTCAAATCATATTATGGTAGCTTTCGTTCGAATCATAACAAGTTGTGCGAGTTCTTATTGATCTTTTTGCATAAATACATGAACTTTTTCTTGGATGAATGTTTATATTAGGAGATAATATATCTTATTTCTGGCTCCTATGTGGATTATTTATGTACCTATGATTTGAGTTTTTGTTGCTTTGTTACATGGTTGGTGCATACAAATTATTTTAGATTGTGATATTAAATATAATAATAATTTATCTATTATAGTGAAATTGGAATTGTCACTTGGCTATTTATAATTACTTAGGAAATGAAAATAAATATAGGGGCATTTACGTGCACGCCACTCAATTCCTACTAATTTACATGTCTACACATTAATTTTTATTTTATTTTTACATTTATAACACTAAAAATTTTAATGTCACATAAAAAAAAAATACTACTATTTTTAACTTTTGACAAGTAGAATGCATTGTTTCATTCAAAGTGAAGATGCTTTGAAGTTGTGTTAGATATGTAAATATATAATGACCAGGTAATTTTTTATTTGTATAAATTTTAAAAATAAATATATTTTTAAAAAGTTCAAACTCTATTAAGTTATATTCAAATATGTTATTAGGCGTGTTAACTCAAGTTTGCACGTCAAGTTTGTGTCTGACTCAAAATTGACCCGATGCAAAACTACACTTAAGACACAAATTTGACATGAATATTAAATAATCAGAAAGTTCAAGACGAAAATGATTCACCATCCAACTTTTTGACCAAAATATGACCCACATAACCCATTTAACATGAAACATAACATCTATTCAGGTCAAATTTAGGTCGAGTTCGAGTCAATCTAATCTCAGTTTAGGCCAAATTCAGGTTGATCTGTCAACCCAAACTTAAAGTAAAGGATTAAATGAGTTAGGATTCTTAACCTGCAATTTCTTTGGGTTCATTTAGAGACCTCTATATATCGTTGTGAACAAATCCCATGCACTACTTGCACTAGATCGGGACGAATTGTTTGGTCGGATCACACGCAATTCAACCAAAACATTACTATTTACAAATCTAACTCACTCTTGCTTCACTTATCAAATTCTCACTCAAATATGAAAATTCATGATAAAATCCACCCATTTTTCATTTTATAAGAGTTGTTTTTAGTGGTGGTAAAATTAAAAAATACCACTTTGAATTTAAAGGATGGATTTTGTAAATAGTAACATTTCGGAGGCTCTGTATGTAATTATCCCTTTCTTTGTATAGCATTGCCCTCTTCCTCACGCTTCCCCTCCGCTTGCTATCGATAGTTGAAATCTCCAGTCCTCCGCTTCACCTTCTCTTCGTCCGGGAAACATTGCCGCCTCCGTTTTCTCTTCTTCTTAAGTTAAAAGAGCCCGCGGTCCGTAAAACCTTCATTTTTGTCTTCTACTGGTAAGACATTTACCCCTTCTTTTTAGTGTTCTTCCATCAATTCGATCATCGGCATCACTGGAGGCTTTTTCCATTTGCGTTAGTTGCTAGGATGCTGTTAGTATCGCTCAGAGTTAAGATCTGCTTTTCAGTCGTTGTTCTGCCCAAATCCGGGATTTCTAGTTGACCTGATGCTTTTCCCTGGTTTTTTAGATCTAAAATGGGTTGTTCGGGCGCATTTCAGTTGTTTGATTGGATAAGCTTTGCATAATGTCCTGATTTTGATTATTAAACGCGAGGAGAGAGATGGATTTAATGCTAGTTGGCTATGAGCGTTTAGTAAAGGTTTAGGTATGGACACCTCTGATTGATTAGCTTTAAAAGAGAGTTGTTTTGTTGATTGAGAAAGCTGTTTTCCTACCTTGGTATATCGCATATTTATGTTGAATTACACTGTTCTTTATTTGTTCATTTCAGCGGAAATTGGAACTTGGTTTGCTAGTTTGGATTTTGGTTTCTTAGGTATTGCTATCTAATCTTAGTTCTGTTCAGTGTTCTGCATTTCAGATGTTTGACAGCTGCAGAAAGCTGATAAAAATGCAGTGGAAAGCCTTCGTTCAAGAGTCCAGCAGAACGATGGAATAGAATTCTATTAAAGCTTTGTGAAGAAATGTCTGGGTTGCTCAATGTAATTCCCATCTTTCATTAATTATGGAAGCATCTGGTTCTGCAATTGTTATCCTATTATATGTCGCCTTATTTCTTTTATATAGACAAGAATTAAAGGCTCATATCTGATCACCATTGTGATATTGTATGATCTTCCTTCTACATGTTTTTTTTTTAAAGTTATGTACATTTTATTCAGTCACAACTTAACGGCTCGGCTTCAAGCTTCCCTGAATCCACAGGCAGGCCATTCACCAATTCCTTTTCTGCCCAATCTGCAACAGCCCAAGGATTTCATCCCTCTGGTTCGTATATTTGATTTTTTCCCATTAATCAATGTTTAAGCATACTTTATAGTTTCTAATCTATAGTTAATATTCAAGGCTTGCACAATGTAAGTGGTAGCTTCAACATTCCCAATATGTCCGCTTCACTCACCTCTCGCAATGTAGCATTGAGTGGTGTCCCATCGAACGGTGTTCAGCAAGCCGGGGGAAGCATCTCTAGCGGACGTTTTGCATCTAACAACCTTCCTGTTGCTTTATCTCAGGTTTTGTTGGTGACATGCTTAACTTTTTGTTGAGTAATGTTGGGTCCCTAAAAAATATTAGGGGCATTTACATACATAGCACGCAGCTCTTATCTATTTACATATCTCACACCTGAACTTTCCATATTTACACAACTCAAAACTTTAATATCACATCAAAAATAGCTCTATTATCACTTTTTAAAAATGAAATGCACATTTTCATGCATAGGATTAAAACACCAAAGTGATGCCATGTAAGTAAATATCAAAATTATTGTGTGAGATCTGTAAATACATAAGAATTGTGTGCTTCTTATGTAAATTTCCCAAAATGCTATTGCAATGCTCCATACTTATAACCTTCTAATAAAAGCTCTCGACTTTTTTTCATTTTGCTTGCTCTTTTCCTTCTACTGTTACTTGTGCAGATTTCACATGGTAGCACGCTTGGACATTCAGGAGTTACTAATCGTGGTGGTATAAGTATTGTAGGAAGCCCTGCTTATAGTAGCAGTTTGAATGCAGTTAGTGGTTCGCTACCTGGAATTTATTCAAACTCCATTGTTTCTAGTAACCGAAACTCCGTACCTGGTATGAGTACTTCTCCCATTTTGGGTAATGTAACTTCGAGAACTGCAAACTCACTGAGTAACATAGCCAATGGCGGCAACGTGGGGAGAAACATAAGCACTACTGGAGCAGCTCTTCCTGCTCTAGCATCACGTGGAAATTTTGGAGGAAATATTGGAGCAGGTAGTCTTAACTTACAAGGGACGAATAGGTTGATGGGAAGTATGCTACAACAAGGTAATGATTGTTTTAAATGAACTTATATAATTCCATGTTACTACCATCAATAAATATAATCTTGGGAAATTTACATGCGTATCACACAATTCCTATGTATTTTCATATCTGCCATCTAAATGTTCATATTTACATTTGCAACACTTTGGTGTGATAAACCTATCCATGAAATGGTGTATTTAACTTTTAAAAGCTAAGTGATAGTGATGTTTTTGATGTGATATTAAAGATTTGGGTGCTACGTTTGTAAATATTAATGTTTGGGTGTTAGATATGTAAAGCATGTTGTGACATTTTACTATTTCAGTATGACCGTAAGAACAGCATCCCTTCAACGTTCGCATGTCTTTTTGCAGATGAAAGCAAACTTGATTGTTTATTCCATTTTCTATTTTCTAATCGAAGTCAGCATGACCTGGAACTATAGATGCGATCCCTTTGATTAGTTTTTTGTTTAGTCCACTAAATTCTGCAATTTGAAAAAACATTTCTATGAATAATTCATTGATTTTTCTATTTATATGAGTCAATAAATTAGTCCTTTCGTTGCATGTATTGTAAAGTGATGGGTATACTTTATTTTTTTGCCATCTTTTCTGTTAGCTTCACGATTTGTTGTCATTGAGAAGCAATTTTCTCTGCTCAACAAGTTTGGCTACCATGGTTCGCATTTATGTTTGTTTCTAGGAAAATAATCACCAAGTCATGCCATGGTTTCATATTTTCTTCTGCTGGATTATTTGGCTGATTGCTGGAGAATTCTGGGAAAAAGGTGTTCATGTTGTAGTTGATTGATATTTTTCATTGATAGGTGACCTGGAAAATTCAGTAATTGAAGCATGTTCATCTTTTTCCTGTCCTGTAGATATTGTTGTTTCATGTTCCCTAAAGGATTGAAAAGTTGGTGCTTTAGGAATATATTCAAGGCTGCATGTACTTGAATTAAAGGAAGAAGAGGCGTTATGCTTAGTTATTTTTAGTTTCCAATTTCATGTGGATTATGTATATCGAGAAGGATTCTCTCGCTTTTACAATATATTCTTACGGTCCATTCCCCCTTATAATATATACTTAAGGCTAACATTTCACTTATTTTGCTTAGCATTCTGTTTTATATTTTGAGTGGTTGAAATCCATGTAGGAAGATTATATGAAAATATCGGAAATAAAATTGGAGAATTTGTTATGGTTAATTAATAAGCTGCACTGCAGGTGATAAGTATTACATCTTAGCGTCTTTTATGAATTAGAACTAAATGAAGATTTTGTGATTTGTTAATATTGCATAAGATCATGAAAATGTGTTTGATTTTCGATAGTAATATGGAATAAAAATAGGTTGCCCTATTTCCTTTGTATAGGATCAGGATCTATGACACGTCTTATAAGTTATTGTGTTTTGGATCCTTTTAGTCTGCTGTTTCTCTTCCTTGTCCATGCTTTATCCACCTTCGCCCTTATATTTCTTTTATATTTATATGGAATGACTTTGATTTGGATTTTTGTTTATGACTTGAACCATATTTTATTGAGCATTTGAATATACCTAATAGCCTAATAGAGTTATACAATGTGGGTAAACTTTATTGTTCCTCGCAGAATTTAATAAAAATCTACTCATATCTTATGCTTATTTTTTTGTGTATGCATGTGTATTTGACTTGGAAAATGGAGTCTGGTGGTATGAATTGGTACCAGAAGGATGCCTGTCGAGGAGGATTAATAGCCTGAGAAATGAAATACACTAAGTATACATGTATAGATGGGTGTAATACACCTTAGTTGTGGGACAGTGGGAATTTGAGCACAACTCGGCTAATAGAATCAAATCAAATGTTAGCTTTTTATATGGTGGAAATTTATAAGCCTACAACTTCTTTAGTTCAAAGTCTTAAGTTTAAACTAAATCATTAAATTTTAATTTATTTCTCATTAGAAAAGAAGCGAGGAGCCTTGAACCCTAAATGCTAACACCCTAAACCCTAAACTCTAAATCGTGGCTATGAGATTTAAAGGATATCATCATCATTTGGTCATTATATTTGGACCCATCCTGTCAATGTCAAGAGGAAGAGCTACAACTTCGAATAAATGATTTTGGAGAACTTTATTTCATACTGCACTTTAATTTTTAAGGTCTAGCTTTTATATATTTATGTGTTTTACAAAAATGGCAAAGGTCTTTACTAATAAAGTAATGACCTGCTCTGTTATTGGCGTAATTAAATTTACATTTTATATCTTTCTAACGTTAAACGTAGTAATTCATGTGAGCCATATTTTATCTATTACATCCACTTTTCTAATATTTTTTTATATAAACTCTTATAACTGTTATTCACGTTTATATCCTTGCAACCTTCAACTGCATAGCATATTATTATTCAATGAGGATTCAGTATTGGTCATTGGACCCTTCACTATAAATTTTGGCATTGCTTAATTGAGGCTTAATTTTGTTTTAAGGCGCCAAGTCTAGATTTTCCTCTATAAGTGTTGAAAGGTTGGGTTTAAGCAAATCACTCCCAAGAAGTTGCTTATGGTAAAAGCCTTTTTAGCTTCTCTTTTGTAGTTGAGGCATCTTGCTTTTCTCTTTTGCAGGTGCATTTTAGAACTTAATTTTTTCCAAGCTCCAATTTAAGCATATTTTAACGCATATTTCTTGTGTAGTCCCTATTGTGGCGTGAGAATGGTTGGCTGCTTGGAAGCTAGGTTTGATGATTAATAATTATTGGAATTGCATAAAATGGAACTCTAATTAAATCTTTTGACACATCATGAATTAAATTAGCCATTCAGATGTAGTATTTGAGCATAAAAAGATGAGCCAAATCTGACAAGGAAAGATGAACAACTTTTGCCGCTTATATCAGCTTATCCTTTTGACCAATCAAATGGCTTAACCAAGCCCCTAAGCTTCTCATTTAGCCTATTCTTGTTTTGTTTTTATAAATAGACAGTCAAATATAACTTAAATATGTAAAATACTAAATATTTTCTGATGTAGTGCATGGTGAGGTGAATTTGGTGCTTTTTTTATTTTCATTTCACATACAAGTGTTATAAATTTTCATGGCTATTTAGGTATTTTAATGAAAATTTTTATGGTATTCGAACATTTAAGTCTAGGGGCAAGGTCTTTCTGAGACTTTGAGAACCCTTTGATCATTTGAATTTTCGAAGGCCAACTGATTGATTTGTCATTTGTTTGATAACTCTAATTTATAGGTCAAGCCATGTTGGATCTTATGTAATTTAGTCAACCAGCTGGACTAGTACTCTTTAGAGTATGTCAATACTTCAATCTAATTAATGCTAATTTGATATGACTTTCAATGTTTCTTTTTGATTTCTTTGGCTCTCTTATATTTTATTTTTCACTTAATTATTTTAAAATTTCTTTTTTCTTCTTTTAAATTTGCTTTAATTTCCACTTTTCTATATTTAGAGTTTTTTTCTTCTGTAAATTTCATTGTGTGTTTTTCTAGTATAATTGGAAAAACAAGCGGAGTAAAATTTTTTACATACATGTGAATATCATTGATAAAAAATAAGATACCAGAAAAAAACTGAATAAATCCTTTCCAAGTTTGATAAAGCATGTAATTCTTTCATATTATACTGTACATATTATCTTCGATTTAGGTTTTATATGGTTAAAAAATATTTTTTTGTTCTTTGTCTCTTTCTTTTAGTTCAATGTTTGATAGTCCTAATAAACTTTGTGTGGCTTAGTTTATGAATTGAGAAGCTATGAATAACTAAAGGCCCGTTTGACATCCTTTTTTGTTTTGTGTTTTTGTTTTTATTTCTTTTATTTTTAAAAACATGTTTGGTTGATATGATTTTTGAGATGTTTTTAATATTTTATTTTTAAAACAAATCATCTTGCTTTTAAAAACATTCAAAACAATTAAAAGATATTCTTAGTACTTATCTAAACAACTATCTCAAACCAAAACATAAACCAAACAAAGTAATAAAAAAGAAGAGAAAACAAAATAAAAAGGATCCCAAATGGCTCCTAAAGCTCTTGAATTTGATGGGAGTACATGCTGCAAACCGTTTGTTGCTTTGCTGCACTGGTCTATCTATATCTGTTCGCCAGTTTTTGCTTTATCTTTGTAAATTTTCCTTGAACTGACAGCACCTCAAATGCTTGGCATGCTTGGAAATTCTTATCCTGGGTCTGGAGGACTGTTATCTCAGAATCATTTACAAGCAGGAAACAGTGCGTTGACCTCCATGGCCATACTCAATGATGTCAATTCGAATGAAAGTTCTCCATTTGACATGAATGACTTTCCTCAGTTAACGGGGCGACCAAATTCTTCTGGAGGGCATCAAGGGCAATTGGGTTAGTCGTGAAAACATAGCCGTTATATCTCTGTTGATTTTAATATAATGAAACATAAACTAATTTTCTTAGGCGCAGGTTCATTAAGGAAACAAGGAATCAGCTCTATTGTCCAACAGAACCAGGAATTTAGCATTCAAAATGAAGATTTTCCAGCATTACCTGGATTCAAGGGTATAAACAGTTTTATTTAATTTTAATACCACTGCCATAAAGTTAGTAAAGTGCCAAAATAGTTTCTTGATTGTTTGCATGGGTTCATATTAGTTCAGTCTATAAAAGTTTCAATTTAGTTCGAACTATTTCAGCCGCAATTTAAGAACCCTAAGGACTTGTTTAGATCTTCTATAGAATTTGGGACTAAAATGACCCATATAAACAGTTAGGGGACTATTTTAGCACTTGCAATAAATTGTTTTAACCAGACTATTACATGCATTAGACTGGCTTATGGTGGCTTTTCTGAGAAGTTTGTATTTTTCTAGTACTAGAATAGGTGAATATTTACAAAATATTGCAAGGCAAACTCTGTTGACTGATATGTTTGGTAGTTTATTCGTACATGTTTCATTAATTATAATTTAATTCTTAATTTATTTTAATTGATAACCTCTTTAGTAGAAAGATCTCCTTGGTAATGTCATGTTTTGCTTAATGGTACTATCTGCTGTCTTTTCATGGCTTAAGCAATGGTTTTTAATTCTGCCGTTTTTGGAAATTATGATTGCCTCATCATGCAATTGTAATGTATTGGTTTAAATTTAATTTTTTCAAGCTATTGCAAACTGAATTTTTCCAATTTTATGGCCATTATTGTAGACACAAAAATGTTGGAAGTTTTTAACCCTTCCATTTTTTCTAGGTGGTAGCTCAGACTTTTCCATGGATTTGCATCAGAAGGAGCAGCTTCATGAAAATGTCTCAATGCTGCAATCACAACATTTCCCTGTAAGACAAGGTTTCCTAGTTGTAGTTGCACCTGGTAGGTAGCTTTGATATATATATTTTTATTTTATATGCTAAATAATCGATTTTATGCTTTAGATGGGAAGGTCGGTCGGCTTCAACTTGGGAGGTAGTTATCCATTTGCTCGTCAACAGCAGCAGCAGCTTGCTTCTGCTGCTAGCACTGCTAGCATTACTTATAAACCCGGAAGCAATCAAGAGCTTCTTCTCCATGGTTCTGATTTGTTTTCTTCCTCAAATGGGACCTATCAGTCTCAAGTATATCACTTCAATACATATTATGCTCTTCATTTCTGAGCAGTAGCCAATAGCTTAGGGGCCGTTTGGTATCAAATTTGGTTTTTGTTTTGTTTTATACATGTTTACTTAAAATGAAACATATTTGGTATATGTTATAATATTGATTATTTGTTCTTAAAAACACTCAAGATAACTTTTAGGTATTTTTAGCGTTTTAAAAACAAATTAATTTGTCTTTTAAAGCAAAAGATAAATGCAAACAAAAAATTCACCAAACCAATATATTTTCAAAATAAAAGCAAAAAAACAAAACAAAAATAAAAGTGATCTCAAACAAGCCTCTAAGAATACCATGTCATTGAATTGTATTGAGTGAATACTCGCCTTCTGTTCATTTTGTTCATTAGATTCAACCCAATGGCCTCCCTAGCATCGGATTTAGGCCATCGAGCTCTCCCATTCCAGCTTCCGGTATTGGATTGTATGACCAGAATATTCAGCAATATCAACACGTCCAAAATCAATCACAACAACAATTGCAACAGATGTCTTCTGTTACTCAGTCATATAGAGATCAGAGTCTGAAATCTTTGCAAGTATCACAAACCACGACGGATAGATTTGGTTTGCTCGGTTTACTAAGTGTCATAAGGATGAATAATCCAGATTTAACTTCCCTTGCCTTGGGGATAGATTTAACTACCTTAGGATTAAATTTAAACTCAAATGATAACCTTCACAAGAAATTTGGTTCTCCATGGTCTGACGAGCCCTTGAAAGGAGAGCCTGAATCTAGTGTCCCTTCATGCTACTATGCCAAACAGCCTCCCCCACTTCAGGTAAGTTTTTGTTCAAGACATTTCTGATAGTACGTTGTTATATTTTACTCGTTATTTTTCCTGAATCTGCTACTATGGATACAGCAAAGACATTTTTCAAAACTTCAGCTGGGAACGCTGTTTTACATCTTTTACAGGTTTGTGTAAATAGTTTTGTCTATTTTATGAATAACACTGGCCACAAACACGTGCATGAACAGCCATGCAACAATTTGTTGTTTGTCTAAGTGCACACGAGCTAATGATAAACTTACACATCAAGAGGGGTGAAAGAGAGGAAAAAGCTGTTAGTTAACTAATGGAAAAATAACCCTGTTAGTTTTCTTGGTCTCTTTTTTTTTTGTGCAGCATGCCAAAGGATGAGGCTCAAATATATGCTGCTTATGAACTGTAAGCATTTGCAGCCGACACCCTTAGATTTGAAGATAATATGTGTTGTTGTATGCTGATTGCATGGCTTTTAGTTTATAACCTTTTGTTTCTGAGTTTTCAAACTTGTTCCTGAACTTGAATCTTATGCCATACATCACTCAATTACGCTTGCTATTTTTTGGTTTTAGAATTTTTTTTCCTTTCTGGGTGGAAGGGAGACATTGTTGAGCCCCTCAGTTTCTTGATGCTTCCATGAATTTCAGTTCTAGTTTATTGATGCTACTGAAACAGCCAACATCTAAATTCCAAGTTAGTTGACAACTATAACAAATGAGACAAGAAAGGACCATGACCACCATTGATCAGTTAAAAAATCATATTTCATTTCTTAAGCAATGAAATTGTCGTGCGAATAGAAAAACTGATATCTGATTAACATTCTATCACAATTATGTTTACATTTAAATAGTATTCAGGTGAGAAAGTCTTACCTAGCAAAGGAATAAATATTTACCGAGTAATTTTTAGGAAGCAATATTATAGGACGAAAGAAAGCAATTCTGAGAAGGCAAGATTTAATCTCTTCCCCTGCAATAGAGAACATCCGCTACCGATCCAAAGGTCATTTCTGATACTTCTACTGAGCTTCATTTGCAACTCAAGTTGAACTCTTAGAAGAAGGGAAAAATTTTGCTTTGGAAGAGGTCAAGTAGCTGGAAAAAATTATGTTGGGAAAAATGTGCACTTCTTTTTATGGCTTGAGTAGGTACTATATAAAGGGTTTAGGTTTTATTTGCAGTTAGTTTGCATGGTTTTTAGGCCATACATGGAGAGAAATAGCTAGCGAAGTGATTTCAATGTTCAACAATTTCGCTTTGGTTAATGTTGTTTTTGTGTGTACCCTTTCAAATTTTAAGGAAAAAACCCCAAAAACAACAACAACAACAACAAAAACAAAGCCTTAATCCCACTACGTGGGGTCGGCTACATGAATACTTTTTCTCCATTGCGTCCTATTTAGTGTCATATTTTCATTTAGTTCTAGTAAATTAAGATCATTTTTAATACAATAAGCCCAAGTCTTCCTAGGTCTACCTCTGCCTTTCTTAACACAAGTCGAATTTAAAACATCTACTCTCCTAATCGGATCATCTAATGGTCGACGTTTAATATGACCAAACCATCTAAGGCGACTTTCTCTAATTTTGTCTGTCACAGGAGCTACACCAACCCTATCACGAATATATTCATTTCTCATTTT